AAACATAAAGCCAGAATCAGCAGAACATTGATGACTTGTAGCTAATATTACTTAATGTGTTTTATCCAGAAGCTTCAGCACAATAAATGTCAACTGCTAAAAACTCTTTGGTGTAAGCATAGTTGCCTATCACCACCTTCTGATGTCTCAGCCACCCACAGATGAAATCACCCTGAGGCAAACCTTGTCTTGAAACTAATTTGAAAAGCATAGTTCATAAATACATGCTAGAGTAGATATAGATGATAGATATAGATTATAGCTATAGATATAAATATAGATGATATTGACCTAGATATAGATATAAATATATGGATAGATAGATAGATAGATAGAAAATGTGACTTAACTAATATGATTTAAATGGGTTCTATTTGTAAATCAGGTACCACTCCTGAATTGAAGATACTCATGAAAGTAATATATGGTTTGTGATATTTTAAGTGAAATAAAACATGATTCAATTTTTCTGTAATTAGACAAAATATATAAACCAGGACCTTACCACAGGAAGAGTTGTACTAAACTCACTGTCAAAAGACTGCCTAACACTTTTACTCCTTTCCCCATAAACTGCCTTTACGAGAGACCTGCTATAATAAGAGAACAACATTTCTGGATAAGAACAACAGCATTTCTGGATATGTTGAAAATACAGAGAGCTACTGTCACCACTGTTTTAATTCAGTATTTTTTATTTTTCGTGCACTTCCAGAATGATTCTAGTGACTGATCACGTTGCAGATTAAACAGCTATTTTGGCAAGCTGCCAACCAATTTCTGTTTGAAACTTAATCTCTCTCCAACCGGCAATAGAAGTAACTGTTTGACCTCTTCCCTGTTTGGTTATTTTTTTCTTCCTATTTGTGCACAGCTTATTGATAAAGATGTCATGGTTAACTATGCCCCACCTGAAGAGCTTTTACAACTTTCTGGTTTTCTGCCCACAAATCTCTGAATGTTAAGAAATCATAAAGGATTGTCAAAACTTACGCAAAGCTTTGTATCAAAAACTGAGTTAAAACTAATGACATAAACAAAACTTCCCAGAATACTGTTTAATGGCATATAACAACTTCAGAATGTTCTCTTTGCCTCTCTAGCAATATATTATTGCCATGTACTAAGACAAGGACTGACACTAGGTACATTAACAGCAACAATTCCACCACAGCTGCTGATCAGTACTGCAAAGGAAATTGTTTTAAGAGAAATGTCTGAAAAAGTGGACATTTATGCAGATGTCCAGGAAGTGAAGAATTCCACCATTATATTTTTCAGCATTGTGAAATGTTTATTTCTCTTTTCTTCCTCAAAAAAAGAAAATAGTCCAGAGGAGAATTGGCGAGGAGAATCCCTAGAATGTATATCTGTCTTACTCTCCTTCCAGGGAAGTATTCTCTCCCAAGGTGATAGTGTCTTATCTCATGCAGCTGTTTTTATGTTCATTTAGCATTTGAGTCCTCAAATAGATCTGCTATTAAAAAACTACCAAGTAATTGCAGAGATTGGAACAGTGGTGAAGTCAATAGTTTTTCTCACATTAAAAGTGAAAGGAGCAAATGCAGTGAATATCTCCAAAAGGTCTCTTTACCAATAGCATCTCATTGCAGTATGGAGAAATAAGAGTGAAACTTAAACATCCTGTCATGTTCTCAGTATCTGACACAGGCTTGATCCAGTACATTAATATTAATATTATATTGCAATAGTAAAGATGCTTTTATGTGCTTAAAATTGCCTTACCTCTCTTTAGTTCCTTGCTGTATGGAAAATGTAGTATGGTAAACTTCATTTGCAATGGTATAACTAGAGCCACAGCACAGTGGTACTATTAAGATTACATAAGCAGAAAATAACTACAATAAACCCACTGCTCTTATAGCTGCTGGTAAAGGCCTATGTTCAGGTAAACTTCACAAAGTTACTGAAGCTAGATTAGATGCCTATGAAAAAAAGAGTAAACAAAGCACATCAAGAAATGAAGGTAGCTGGAAATGAATGGCCTTGATGGAAGTGTACGTGTTAAATGACTCCTGCATGTCAGAAAGTAAATTCTGCACAACCCTGAAGTGCTACCACAGTGCTACATGCACTGAAGTGCCCGGCCATACCAGGGATTTCAGTTTTCAGATAGAAGCAGTGAAGCTGGCTGTCACACCTGAGTATGAAAGATAACATCAATAAGCTTCTGATAGAAAACTTGAAGATGTGGACAGGATCAAACTGTTCCATGTAAATGCAAATGGCTCAGGCCAATGAAAGGGCTGTGTACCTTATAGACTAGCTGTCCACTTTTTCTGGTTATATCAGCTTGTCTGTTTGAAAAATACCCATTTCCAGGAGAATCTGAGTCCTCTAACTATCACAGATGTAAAATTTCAATAGAAGACTGTTAAGAATTCTACTTTCTGCATTCTGGTCAAGTGCACAAAAATTAATAGAAGTAACAATTTCATTTCAAATATGAAAGTCAGGTTGGTTCCTCCTGGCTTTCAGAAAATCTTTTGTATGGCCAATATGTTACTTCTGACACAAAAACAAAAACAAAAACAAAAACAAAAACAAAAAACCAGGCAAAAAAAAGAAAGAAAAACAGAGCAGCAAAAATCAAAATATATGAAGAAATACAGAACTGGCATGGAGCACTCCATTTCAAGCCAACTCTGAGATCAAAGGGTCAAATTTTTACAGCTTGTAGGAGAATCTATGGAAGCAGAAAGTGAAGCTGCAACTACTGTACTAACTGAATTAACTATCTTGAATGGTTCTTCTCTGGGAAAAAAATGAATGAGTGAAGGGCAGTCAATCATACAGGAATTTATTTCAATATGTAGTATTTTATCTGCCCTCAGAGATTTCCTCTGAATCTTGAACATTGTCACATCCTTCAGATTACTCCCTTCATAGTATTAGAGCAGCCCACATCTTTCAGATTTATACAATTAGAATATAATGAGAGTTAAACTAGATAGTTTATTCTACTTGTTAAACAGAACAAACCCCTCCCTCTATGCTGTTGGGCTTTTTGAAGTGGGAGTGAAAATCACACAAATAAAAACCCCAACCTCTGACAATTAAAGCTATTAGTTTAAAAACATTAAAATTGCCCTTTTGAGGTGTTACTTTTGTATCCACCATTGTCAAACTAGAAAAACATTAACTGTATCTGAAGATCATGATGAACAGGATGTAACAGAGAGCAAATAAATGCTTCAAGCAAAGTGAAATAAGGAACCTCAATGTATTTCTTCCATGGCAATACACCAGAAGTGAAAAGGAGGCTATGACAGCTTTTCAGTGCTCTGGAGGTTTTGGACAGTCATTCATCACCACTATAACATCTCCATTATATTTTGTATATATTTGCATATATCTAAAATAGAAATGGGGAAAGCACATATCACTCTTCTGCATTTAGATGTTGGGCATGTGTTTGGATCCAGAAGTTTCAGATTATTATTTACCATTTAGAAGTAATCACAGTTACTGTTATGGGTTGTATTGTATCTGGGAAAAAAAGATGCACAACGATAATAACAAGGCCTGATTACAGGCCTTGACATCTTCAACGTACTTTTGAAGATGAACAGTAAACTGGTAACCCAAAGAGAGAGAATTCTTCCTGCTATGGTTTAAACACTGTGTTTGCCAGAAATGCATAGGAATTATACCCCAATCGGCAGCTATTTCTTTTGTACCAAATTTATGTGGAATAAACTACTTTTTAAGATGCAGAGGAAGAATTTTTCTATTTAAAGCATATACCCTTTTCTTCAGCTATTGATCTCTTACTAATGGGACTCAATGTTGCCCACGAAACCATTATTTTATGATAAACTGGAGTGCACTACAATGTTATTTTACTAAGATGTCTTCAGTGCACTGTAGATCTTCCAATTCTCATCTTTCAGAAAATTTAAATGAAACCTTTTATCTAGTAAGTTATATATTGCTAGCCACAAAGTGCTGAAACATGCTTTTGTGTATCTGCATTTCATTTCTATTTGGCAGAAAGTAAAATATTTTTGTCAACAATCCATCAGTAACCTATGCTCATCCACTTCTCACTATAGACTGGAAGAAGTTCTGGCACAGCGAAGGTTCTAGCAAGTGTGCTATATACTGGAAAATGTTTTTCATTGAGACCTTGATTTTATATAAATTATGCATGTGCAGTACTTGAACCATATACAATTGCATAAAACAGAATGCAAATGAGTTATCTTGAGCAGGAGCCCACTGGGAGCACTGGCATCTGAAACATGAGACCACCTCTGGTGCCCTCTCCTGAACTGCCTTCCCTGCAGTTTTCCTGGGCCAGCCTTGTCCATGCAGGTGGCAATCATGTGACAGCAAGCTGCAGCAGGTTTAGGTCTAAATCATAACTCTGTCATTAACCCTTTGTATCCTTGCAGAGCAGACTTCCCCAACAGTTAATATTCAGTTTGTGCTTCATAACTGACAGGTCTGAATTAAAGCAGTATGATCTGCCTGTTTTATAGTTGTAACTAGCTCAGAGACACAGCTCATCTTTGCTCTGACAGCTTTCACAGAACATCTTACGCTGAAAATATTGCCTAGATGAGGAACTAAGGTAAGAAAGTTGTCTTCTTAAGCTTCTCTGTACTCAGTGGAGAAACAACCCTCAGAAGTTTTTCATACAGCAATATATGAAACTTTGCACTCTGAATTTGTTTCCTCTTAACCATATTGATAGGGATTATAATTAAAACATGAGAATACTGTATGAAAATCTTACAGAGAATAGCTATTTTTGTGTTAGTAAAGATAGTAGGAATCCTTTGACATAGCCCATCAAGCATGTTGTGATTTGAATCAAGATTTCAAGAGTTAATATTAGTTTTTCTTTCAAGGTAGCTGCAATACACTCATCACAATTGTTGCAGGTTTGAACTGTTGCACATAGTATGCTAAGAGACTCTTAGTTTAAAAATAACAGTAAACCAAAGAAAGTGAAGTAACTTTTAATTCTCTTTTCAAATGTGCATTTGAATTTAATACAATCTGTAAGGCACTCTCATAAGTAAAAAAAAAAAAATTAAACATTCTTTTCCAAATAAGGACAGTTACAAGGCAATGGTATGCACATAAAATCTGTAGCTGATAAACAGCGAAACACAAACGTTCAGGTTTTGGATGCATTGCAAGGTAATGTAATTTCTGTATTATGATATGACCCAGAGTAAATATTGGCACTGTAAATGATTTCTCATTGGGGTTAGGAACTTGTATTCTCTTCATATCCCAGTAAAAAATAAACTCTTTAATAAATAAATATATAAAATAAATATATGCTATCTGGAGATGTATAAATAGGTCCATCCTGAAGAAAATTTCCAGTTTTGACTACTATGCATTGACAGCTAACGTCCATCACTAGCGTGGAGCGTGTAAAACTTCACACACAGTTCTCAGATTTGTCACTATTTCACAGTCCATTTCTTTCTATTTTTTCCAGCCATTGTCTCATCCATGTGATGTAGATGGTTCCTTGCTAACCTACAGGCCACAGGTAATCCGGGCAGAATTGCTGAGAGTTCGTTACGTTTTAAGAAGTCACACTTCCCCCTGGTGACTGGCAAGTCTTGAGGAGGCTGGTCCATCCATGCTCAGCTTCAAGGCTTTGTCTCCTAAATCCAGTGGTTAGAAAACAGAGACCTGCCTATCACCAAGCAGGTTCTTCACATCCAGCAGCCCAGACCTCGGCAGGTTCCTCATGCTGGCATTGCCATGAAAGCACGGGCAACAGCTCCAGTTTTCTTTTTTGCCAAAGCTACCTCTTTCCTCAGCTGTATCCTAACACATCTTTGTACAGTTCTGGAACTCTTTCAGGATCCACAGGCCGGGGTAAGAAATGCGTGAATTTCTGGTGTCTTTTGGACCTTGCCCCATCTCTGGGAGTACCGTCTTTATTAAGTGCTACAAAGTACCTCCGCCCTGAATCCCCATGTTTGTACACATTGGATGAGTAGGTGTTGTACCAGTTTTCCTCAAATTGCTCCCTGAAGATGCACTCAGAAGTCAGTTTCTCCTACAGAAATAAAGGGAAAAGAAAAATAAGTTGAACTGCCACTAGATATTTGAAGACATGAAAAATAATATGATAAAAATAAACAAAATGCTTTATGATTTGTGTAGCCTTACTGTTCATTTAAATGTCAACAAACCAAACCCAAGAAAAGTATGCAGACTTGACAATGAGTTTGGAAACTTGGACCTGTACACCTACAATTTTGTATTTAGTTAACATTTTGAATTAGGTAACATTTACCGTAAGAAAATTTTACTTATTTATGACTTATTTAAAATTCATCTGATTTACAGGAATTATATTATGTAGAGTTCTGTCTTGGGGTATCTACTGTTCTAGAAAAAAGATTTGATAGAGGGACTCAGATGCAATGTAACAGAGCAGGAAGGTATTTACATATTTCTTTGTGGTGTGCATCACTTCTCACATTTTAAACTGGAATGACCACAACCAAAGGAAGTGGAGAAACAGAGTATTTTATCTGAAGATGTTTTAAAACTTGAAAGAAGAGTAGGACTGGCATTACCCTTATAGCTTTGTAAAAATCGATTCTATTTTGTTGAAGTATCCAAGGCTACACTGTGTACTTCAAAAACACATTACACATTCCAACAGGAAAAGATGTTAGTGTTTTGAAAGCTGAGATGAAATGAGATGGAAGAAGAAGGAAGCAAACCAAAACCTAAAGATGTATGAGCTGATATGAAAGTGGTACTTACAGAGCCATAGAGTTCTCCCTTTTCATTCATTCCAAGGTAAAGGCCACTGTCCACGCCTCTAATACTGACCAGTCCCACTGCCACACTGATGAATTCAAGGATACCTGGGGGGAAAAAAATTGCTTTAATTAATTTTGTAACCATAAAACACATAGCATGCAAAACCTCAGTTGAAAACAAGTAGAAAATGCACATATTATAGTAAATGTGGCCTAGTTTCTGAGAAATTTAAAAAACTATGGGAAAAGGTATAAAGCGTTCACAGGAAACCAGTCCAAGAAGCCTCAACTAGGAATATATATCCTACAACACTTAAGAAACTTCTTTAAAATGTTAAATATGAAAGGATTTTATTCAGCACTGAGACTAAAGCCATTACTACCATGCTGTTGGAGTCTTTAATGATTGTACACTATTTGCTAAACTGCCTACTCAAATATTGAAAGATCGACAGAATCTACCCACAGAAAAAGAAAAGTATTTGCCAGACATCTTATCTAGCATATGGGCCCACACCTCTTGACACAACTTGCTGTCTTTAGTGCAGGCTTTTAAAGTACATAAAATATGCTGTTTTTCTTGCTACCGTTTGGATTATAGCATTATTTATATTACATTTGCCCAAAAATGTAATATATATTAATAAAGTATTTGAGACATGAGGTACTATTTGAAGCCTGAATTTGGCAAAGGTAAGCCAACATACTTAACCAATTGATATGCACAGATTACAGCACATCCAAAACATGAAAGAAAAGGAATGTGTGAACTGGCTTTTTGGAAGTTGTTAACAATGTAAACAAAGCCTCAAAAAGAAGTGCCAGAATCATATCTAAGACATTACTGTTCAGCAGCAAAACCACAAAACATTAAAAAAAAAAACAAAAACCCTGAATCTAAAGTATATAGTTTCAAATAGTGCAGCTGATTATGATTCTTTGTTTACTATTTATGATTTCAGGACAATTTTCACTCCCAGACAAATGGACTATGTGGACTATACAAAAAGTAATTTTAAATGTTTTCAATTTTAATTGAGCTTTGGCAGGTTTCTTAGTTGTCTTAAGGAGCAGCAAAGAAAATAAACTCTTTACAAAGAGTAAGCGTTAAAAACTGTATCACACATAAATCATCCTAGTTTTCCAGTTCATAAAGCACAGAGTCCCATAAAAGATTTGGAGTCATTTTGTCTTTCTGATATCATTTTCAAAGCCACCCTTTTCCGAAAGCATAATAAGCAGGTGATACAACCCACAAAGAAACCACATCAGACAAACCTGCCAAGAGTAGTGGTAGAATAAAGGTAGTACAATTCTAAAAAGCTTAGTAAATGTTAGATCTATGGCTAACTTGATTTTCCTTTTAAAGCAAAGATTTATTTCATGTTTACACGCTGTAGGAAATATTCCTTCTGAAAAGATCTGGTTAACTACTGCTCCTCTACTTCTTTAAACATCCATGTGTTATAAAAGCAACTAAGAGCCTTTCCAGCAGATTGTTTTGACTATGGGGAGGATGATAGGAAGCTCTTTAATCACCTTTTTATGACTGCTAAATCAATATACGCCAAAACTCACATGTAGTTGACAACAGCAGGTTTGTTCGCATGTCCAGCTTCTACAATTACTATTTAGGATCTACTCTCATATCACAGGAAATGTTTATGTTTTGGAGTTGTCTTCACCTCCTTTGGGTTTATAGACAGAGAAAGCTGCTTGGGAAGCATTTTAAGCACTTGATCAAAGAGGCATTTTAGGCTCCTCTGCTTCAGCTTTATGTCATGTGAAGCAAAGCAGTCTAATGCAGTCTAAGGATCAGCACACCCAAGTCTGTGACCTATACCGTTTTAGAGAGACCCGAGAAGCTACGATACCAATAGTGAATACAAAAAGGGTCAGTCTGACTCTTGACCATTCCCACTAAACCTGCCGGTGCATGCTTGTGCTTATAGACCCCAGCACAGACTGAGCAACGCCTGTCTCCGGACTCACCTGGGATGCACAGCCCTCCCTCACTACCCTGCCATGGTGCAGACCCCACGGCCAAATGCCGGAGGGTGAAGCCTTTCTGCTCTGAGGACTCATCCACCTGCCTCAGCCTCACCAGCATCTCATCTCCCTCCCAAGAACACGACCGCTCCCGCCCAGGTACACACAGATGCGCTTACACACACACGCACAAGCACACGCACACACACAGGCGGGGCCGTGCCGCAGCCGCCTACCGAAGAGGCTGTGGTCCTGGCGGGTGCCGCGCACGCTGCCGTCGGGCAGGATCTGCAGGTGGAAGCCGGTGCGGCAGTACAGCTGCCGCCGCCGCAGGATGCCCTGCAAGTGCGCCAGGTCCGC